CCTTTTGATTCTAGTCTCTTGTAATAGTCAGGAGACTTCGGACTTTTCATATAGGGTGAGTTGGGGTATTATGGTTACTGTGAAGCAGGGACCTGGAGTGGTAGAATTTAAACATTTAGTTAAAGTTCCATTACACCAAAAGAAAATGCCAGGTGGTGCAGAGGTGATGGAAATATTCTGTGGTGCTTGGTTAAAGGTTTTAAGTACCCAAAAGGGTACATGCAGTAGAGGGGTGGTGCATGAAGAGTTGAGGGTGGGAGCAGATAGTGGTAGAGTTAAATTGATAGGTACAGCTGCAAGTAAGGGTCACTTGAGTGAAGCACAAAAGAAGCAATGTGAAACATTGGGTAGAGTCTAATTGAGGAGAGATAGGGAATGTTGGATGATGTGTATCCAGGAAGGTGTTGGAGAGGTCCGGACCTGTGTCGGGTCGAGAACTGTTTGGGGATCTCCTTGGATCTGTTTCTGTAGGTTAGGTTCTTCTTGGGAAATGGAGGTAAGAACTCGTGTAAGGTTGTGGGGGGTGTGGATTGCTCTTTCTATTTTGTTGGTTCCTGCGGGTAAGGTGGCAAAGCCATTGTAATACAGTTTTCCTATAATTCCATCTGCCCACCTGCCGTTCTTTGGATCGCTGATGCAGAGGTGTAATCTCATGGTTTTAGTGAAAAATGCTCCAGAGTAATCTCCGGAACTATGTATTCTGCATGACCAATAATAACATCCGCCATAGTTTGAGGAGCTTTGGTTGAATTTGGGATTGGATTGGTCATACGTAAAACAGAGATAGGAGAAATTACTGGGGAATACTGATTTGGGGAAAATGGGTATTTCTAGTTGTGTTGTGTTTGTTGGTGGGTAGTCTGCCTGACCAATATGCTGCAGGGAGTTTTGTCCCTCCCAGACTGTAAATCTCCAGACATGGTTGGGTGGGAGTTTATTGGGATTGGATATGGGTTCAGTATTAGTGAGGGTCAGGAGGACGAGGGGTCCAATTAAGACGGAGCTTAGTCGGACCCAGCAT